GGGGGGGGCTGTCAGGGGGTGGGGAGTGGTTGGACGGGGCGTGGGAGTCCCAGGGGTCTGTCTGGGGGTGGAGGTGTGGATAAGGGTTGGGGCAGTCAGGGTACAGGTAGGGGGTAGGATCCTAGGGGGCCAGTTAGGATGAGGGGAGGGTCTCAGGAGGGGGTAGTCAGGGGACAAGAGGCAGGGAGGCTTAGGTAGGGGGTGGAGTCCTGGGGGGCAGTTAGGGGCAGGGGTCCCAGGAGGGGGCAGTCAGGGGACAAGGAGCGGGGGGAGGGTTGGGGGTTCTGAGGGGGGCGGGAAGTGGGAGGGGCAGGGGCGTGGTTAGGGCAGGATGGGGCGGGGCTAGGGCGGGGCTCCTCCCGTCCTCTTTTTTGCTTGCTGAAATATGGTAACCCTACACAGCAGCACACACCCCTCATTTGCCACCTTCACAAATCAATACAGAATCCCCCAACACAAACCCCACAGACACAAGTGAACACAACCAGAACACATAATAACCCCAAACATCACTCTGAAGCCTAGAATATCTGTTGTGTGTGAAGCAATGGAAAGAACTACAAGCATGGCTGAGAACTTTTTTTGTTCAGCATATCAGCAGGTTCAATCATCATTGGGATTTGTGGTCTCTTACCATCCAACTTTTTAAAAAACTCCATCCAGTTTTTAAGTTCTCAGCCATTTTGCCTTATTTACACACATGATAAATTACACCTATGTGCCAGTAGAGGCTTTCAGCTACTAGTTACTATTTAAATGTGGGTGCTACTAATAAGAGCTTCAGAGTTTGATTTAAATTCTGGTACCATCTAGGATTTGCATTCTTTTACATTTCTGTGTAATGAAGAAAAGACTTGATCAATCCTACTACTGTGTGTTTGTCATTCGACTGGTGTTACTGGGTACACAAGTATATGCTGCCAGAACCACAGACCTTTTTCCTATACTTTTGCCAAGACATTTTCTTGATAACCTTTGTCTTTTCCTTCTTTAAACCCTCCCTAATTCCTTGAATGAAGCTAACATGGAGTGGAACTTACGTACTTTTTCCAAGAGCTGAGCAATATTCCAGCAGTTCCACAGTGCTCTTGTACTGCCTACACTGATCAAACTTCCTGATTTACTATAGTATTGTAAGCAGTTTCAGGATCATAGGCCAGCTGGCAGGCAAACCTACCTTTTTTTCCCACCAGTCGGTGCTGCCATTTCTGTTTATCTCTTTAAAGCTGAGCTGTGGGTCAGCTGCCTTTGTGCTGATCACTAGCACAGTTCCTTCTCTCTGTATTATGCCTTATCTGACATTGGCAGTGTAGTCTGGGGCCAAATTACACAGTATTGGATTTTGGACTCTATCATCTACAGCTTAACTGCAAGGTAATCTTGTACATTCAGAGATGCCATTGCAAAGGAAAGGACAGAGATGCAGTAAAAGGGGAAAGAAGAATTGAGGGTATGGAGGATGAGGTGAAGATCCAGCAAATGTGTCCAATAGCAAGTACCTCATATCAGATTGTTCAGCTAGCACCCACCGTTTTCTGTACCTTCCTGAGGGCAAGTGCGTACCCTGAAAGCACTTTCATGTGCCAAACCCTCCTATTGACAAGTGATTCCAACCTAAATTCCCCACATTTCCCCACATCTCCCCACATTTCCCCACATAACTACCCTGCACAATCCAGGATAAAGCCTCTATATATGGTTCCTCAATCCCAGGTATTAAAATGCCCCTCCACTGTCTTTCCTTTTGGTAACAATGTGCTTTCTTTTATTCTTGAAACATCTTCCCTTTCGTTTTACACTATGTGACATTTTTTTATATTCTGCTTTAAAGGAACACTGGCAACTTAAAAATTGTATGTTTTTTTTTAAATCTAAGATTACTATAAATAAAAGATTATCGGGGGGAATTTTTTCAGTTTACTCTGTGCATTTGTCGCCACCCTGTGTAGAGCAAGTTTCAGTCTTTACCCTGTATGTACAGAACCGTCTGTTAAACTATGATCCTGCAATGAGCTCTATGGGGGTTGACCCTTGTGCTGCTGCAAAGCCCTGTGTGGACATGGGGTTGCTTGCATAGAGTACATAGCAAGATAGGGACTTTAGTTATTCAGTTTCTGCTGGTGTCTGAGTTGTTCACAGAGCAGAAAAGGAGGGTTTTTTTTTGTAATTTTAGAAAACATGATTGTAACACCACAAAAATTGACAGGAAAACTTGGGGACAGGCATCACACCTGAAACTATTTGTAATACTTATTTTTTAATTATCTGAGCATCCAGCTGACTATCCTTTTAAAACTTTTCTCCAAAAGCTTTTCAGTGATGATTCAAAAACACCCGCAAAACCTCTCTCAAATGTATGATAAATGTCTGCTCTGTGTGTTCCGTGTCTGATTTAGAGGGTAAGCTTTATGGGCTGTATCTTCTTCACTATTTATATTGGCCCTGCACACACTGTAGGTACCTAAGAAGAAGATTTGGCACTTGCTGTTAGCTGTCCAGTAATCTCAAAGTGCTTTACAAATATGAATTCTCTCAACACCCCTGGGACATATGATGCCGCGGTTGTGCCTGTTTTACAGAGGGGGAGGCGAGGTGCAGTGAGGGAAAACGATTTACTAAAGTCAGCTGGCAGGTCTGTGAATCCCATAGTCTGACTCCCGGTTCTGTGCTCTAACCACTGGGCCACACCAGTGAATCAGAACGTCTCTTGTTTTCTGTTGTGTACAGTGCCCACCCCCATG